ATTATAAACATGATAAAAGAATTCAGTGAATTTAAAGAACACACAAACAAAGAAATCAAAGAACTGAAAGAAGATAGGGACAAACTTCTGAATGAATCCAGAAAAGAGTTAGAAATATTGATGAATACTCAGGCTAAATGAAGAAGAAAGTAAAACACTCAGTAAGCCAATTAGAAATGACAAGAGAAAGCCTCACCAATAGGATGAATCAAATGGAAAACAGAGTAGTAAGTCTGGAAGATAAAGTGGATGAACTAGACCACTCAAATAAAGATTATGAAAAATTTAAGAAATCACAAGAATGGAATATGCAGAAATTGTGTGAAACCATAAAAAGACCAAACTTATGAATCACAGGCATACAGGAAGGAGAAGATAATAGCATGGACCACATCTTCAACAGAATCGTGGAAGAAAATTTCCCAAAATTAAAGAAAGACATGCCCACAACAAATACAAGAAGCAGAGAGAACACTAAAAAGACAGGACCAGAAAAGAAACTCTCCATGGAACATCATAGTAAAAACACTAAACATACAGAACAAAGAGACAATACTGAAAGCTACAAAAGAGAAACAACAAGTCACATACAAAGGAAAACCCATTAGGATTACAGCTGACTTTTCAGTGCAAACTATGAAAGCCAGAAGAGCCTGGACCAAAGTATTCCCAGTTTTAAATGAACACAGATGCCAACACAGATTATTATATGCAGCTAAAATATCTATTAAAGATGAAGTGGAAAGAAAAATCTTCCATGACATAAATAGGCTGAAAATGAAAGTATAACTGTGGAAAAGTACAGCTATATCAAGAATGTAAACAGAAATTAAAATGACAGGATTCAATGCTCATCTTTCATTAATAACTTTGAATATTAACGGACTGAACTCCCCAGTCAAAAGACACAGACTTTGTGAATGGATTAAGAAACAAAACCAATCTTTTTGTTGTCTGCAAGAAACTCATCTCACTTTCAAGGACAGAAGCTATCTCAAAGTGAAAGGATAGAAAAAAATATACCAAGCAAATGCTACTAAGAAAAAAGCAGGCATAGCAACCCTAATATCTGACAAAATAGACTTTACACTAAAACTAATCAGACGAGACAAAGAGGGCCACACGGATTCTGATCGAAGGAACAATGAATCAAGAAGATATTACAATCATGAACATATACTCACCAAACTCTGGTGCACCCAACTTCATAAAAACAATACTACAGGACTTTAAGACCCAGATTAATCCCACCTCATTAATAGTAGGGCACTTCAATACCCCACTGTCTCCATTAGATAGGTCAACAGGGCAGAGAGTTAACAGAGAGACATTTGAATTAAACAATACCATATATCAAATAGACTTAACAGACATCTACCGCATATTCCACCCAAGCACCAAAGGTCATACTTTCTACTCAGCACCCCATGGAACCTTCTCCAAAATCAACCATATATTGGGGCACAAAACAAACCACAACAAATATAAAAAGACTGAAATAATTCCATGCATTCTATCGGACCACAATGCAATAAAGCTTAAAATCAACACCGAAGAAACCCTAAGCACCACATGAACACATGGAGATTATACAACATACTCCTAAATGATGAAAGGGTCAAAAGAGAAATTAAGAAAGAAATAAAAGTATTCCTGGAATTAAATGAAAAGGACAATTACAACACAACAAAACCTCTG